CTTAACTATTCTTTGTCCATTAATACTTTTCCATCCATATTGAAGCAATCAGTAATAATTCCAATCCCTAAAAACAGTAATCCCTCCTCATTTTGTCCCATCTCTATCCCTCCTTTCCTATCTAAATTACCTGAGCATTTGCTTTAATCAACTGAACGACTTCTTTAGAAAATGTAACGCTGTTCCAGAATGTTAATCGGGATGCAGGGGCTCTCACAATACCACTACAGAGTTACTTCATTTATCTGATATTGTGTTGCATAGTTTCGATTCCGGACTTCTGATCTCGTTAATAGCTTTTGATTTTTCGAGGGCGTTTGATACAATTGACTACGAGTTGCTTCTATTAAAACTGCATTCTCTTGGCTTGTCAGCTAACGCTCTATCCTTTGTGCATTCTTTTTTGATTAACCACACATAACGCGTTCTGCTCTATAATCCTTCTCCCTCCTTTTTTTTCCTCGCATTGTTCCATTTGGCGTTCCTCAGGGCTCGATCTTAGGGTTATTGCTTTTCACGATATATACTGCCGATCTCGTCCTTATTCCACTTAAACCTAAATTATTTATGTATGAAGATGATATTATACTTTTATATTCCTTTCAGTTATTGGAATCCACTTCTACTGTCGCTATCATAAATTATGATCTTAGCTTAATTGCTGATTGGGCTTCAATAAATACGCTGCACCTAAACTCTTCGAAATCATCACTACTTGTCGCCGGTTCTCCCTTATTACAGTCTTATTACTGTCTCATCTTCCTTCCTTTAACATTCTCCTCAATTCTACGCCAATTGCTCGCACCTCCTCCATTAAAATACTCGAAGCCCATCTTGACTTCTCATAGTCTTTCTATGATCACGTCGTAGCAAAATGTCGAGCAGCCTTCCTACGTCTCCGTCTTCTGTATCTTTTTCGTCACATCCTCTCCACATCGTAGAAACTTCTAATCTCTCAAATGCTCGTAATCTCCCTGTTTGACTATGCTGACACGGTCTACATACCGGCTTTGTCACAGCAAATGCTTAATCGTGTCCAGCGTGTTCAGAATTTTTGTCTTTGTTTTTCGTATAATGTCCGCAAATATGATCACGTTTCCCGATTGTTCCTGCGATCTGGTTGGCTGAAGATATAACAGCGTTTCGTTCTCCACTTATGTTGCTTCGTTTTCTGTTTCCTTTGTTCTGGCATTCCTCTCTACCTACGTAGCCTTTTGCACTTTAATTCTGATTTCTATACTCGTGACATTCCTGTAACCTGTCATCGTGACTCTTTATCCTTCCCCATTCGTACTGTCAAATTTAAAGCAGCCTTTTCCTATACCGCCACCAAATTTTACCACATTCCATTCGTTCTTCTGCCTCCTTGTTTTCTTTTCGTTCCGCCGCCGCTAAATTCATATCGCAACAATCAATAACTCAACTTCTATTAAAACTTTGTTTGCGAATTTCCAGTCATCATTATTAATTAAAGCAATTGTAACATCACGGTATTCACTGTAATGGCTATGCCAACTGAACTTGCCATTTACACAATTTAACTGAATGATATCAACTATGTTTTTTATCTTATGTTTTAACAGTCAGAATTATTCAAACTTATTTCATATAATTATGTTTATTTACTTTCATATTTTGTAATATTTTGTATGCTACTGTGTTCTGGATGGCGTAGTAGCAGCAGTTTGCTGATACCTCATCATTTGCGTACTTAATGTATCACACAAAACATAATTTCTATATTATATTGCACAATAAATTGAAATTGAAATTGAAATTGAAATTGAATTTTTTACGCATAAACGTATCAATTCAATGTACAATATTTTTATCAAAATTTGAGGTGGTCTCTTCTTAACATTTACCGTTAATTTTCCTATTTTTTTATATTTAACCGTTTCATAAGAAAACATACATAACATAGATTATAAACTCTTAACTACACAGGCTCACAAAAAAAGTACGCTGGAGTGGAGACCCAGCTATTCTTATGTATTTTGATTCTTATATATAATATTATTATAATTGTATCTCTGACTGTCGACACTACAAGTCTTTTACGCGAGAAAACGCTTACATCAAATCTGACAATCTGTTGAGTGATGTGATTCTACGTAATTATAATGCATATGACGTCGGTTTTACTTTATCTAATTTGGCATTTGAATAAAGAAGAACGAACTAATTTATCGGGAATCATCAACTTGGAATTTGCGTTAATTATGTATTTTCGATTTATATTTTATATTGATAAGGATCAGAATTAAAGGGTTGAAACGTATATTTTATTTATTTATTTTTTTGTTATTATATATTCACACGAAAAATAAAGAATTTTTGTGCATCCGAATAGCTGATGTAGACTCTGATGGGCTTTTTTACATTTTTCACTGATAGATTCTTTCAAGCCTCATTATATATATTTTTTTATGTATTTTGAGTCGCTGAATACAAATCTGACATCAAAATAGAACCATCCAAAGAAAATTTTTAATCTAGAGCGAAAAAATGAGTCAAAAATGAGAAAAAATGAATTTTTTCGCTCTAGATTGAAAATGATTTTCCCTGGATAGTCCTATTTGAATTATATAGATAGTTGCACATACTTTGGTGTACTTTCTATGTTTAATTAGGTCCAAGTAGGCGCCATTTTACATTTTTTACGTAAAAACGCGTAATTTGTCGTTGTTATTTCTGTGCCCAATTATCAGACTGTAGAGTGTAATTTCGTGTAAAAAAGCGTAGAATGGCATACTTTCTTGAAATAATACGAAAAAATGAAAATTAGTTTGACGCAGTTCGGCATAGAAACGCATAGTTCAGGAAGTAGTGATTATTAGTTGCGCGTACTTTGGCGTACTTTCTATGCCGAATTAGGTACAAGTACGCTATTTTATCTTTCGCGTAGGTTGACATAGATATTTCTATGTTTAATAACACGATTCTACACAGTCGTAGAAGTAGAAAGGCGTACTTTTTGGCGTACTTTGGCACAGAAATTTTTTCTCTAGAGTATACTGATTATTACGAAAAAAAAATTTTTTTAATAAAAACAAATAAGAAAACCTTTACAATGACCACAACTTTAATGCTGTAGAGGGTTAAGTCTATAGGCAACAGATACCCAAGCAGAACAACAAATCATAATAACATCAAAATGACATTAAAATGAATCGAAAATGATTTTGAAAAATGACTTTTAATCTGAGAAACCTTAATCTGAATGTTAATATAATAACAGAGCAGTATAATGAACAAAAATATTTTATTAATTTACTTATTAGTTATGGAAAGAGTTTAAGTATCGTAGTGGTATATCTTCTTCTTCTTTCGCGGCATTACAGTTTACGATGAACCAAAACCTAACTTTCATGAGGTTTTCATAATAATAAATATATTTTTTTTGGATTCAAGTTGTTAATCTAATATCCAACTCCCCGCCTAGAGAATCCATACATATCCGTTGATATGGGATCTACAGTTTAACGCCGGATTTGAACGGTACTGATAATCAAAGATCTCTTAATCACTAGATGGAGTCATTTTTGGCTTCTTAAATTAAACGCGAAAAATGTGTGCGCAAGGATTAAACCCGGATCTACAGATTGCGAGTCAATCGCACCGACAAGCCTCTCGACGCTTCAATAGTATATCTAGACTAATAATTAATTGGGGCTTTATGGATTGAATTTTCTCATATAGTGATTATTACTGATATTTTTAAGGCTCATACAATACAAAAAAAAAATTGTTTAATAAGAATCAGTTTGGGATCAAAAACAGCCTTATTGATCATCTTCCTTTATCTTTAGATTTTGATATATTATACTAAAATGTATCATTACAACGTGGCGTAAGGCTTAAAGTTATGTCATAATGACGTGAAATAATATCTTCATACTTTAAGACGTCCTTAAAATAAATTTACATGTAACTATCTCTTTTCAACCTCTTAACATTATTAGTACGAACATGCCTAGTAGGAGAAACCGAAACTAATAGACTCATTTTTCAGTTTCAAATTTTTACAGACGAAATTAAAAGACTTAACGAAAAAATAAATTCTACATCAGTTACTATATACATTTGACTATCTAATAATATTTTAATAATAAAGGAAAACTAATAACTAATATGAAAAAAATACATTTTTCTAATGCATTCCATCTGATTCAACTAGCCACAGGGGGGGGGGGGCGGACCGGAGTAATTTGACTAAGATTATTAAATTAAAGATTAATGTATTTTAAGCACATCTTTGGCTACATATTAATAAAACTTTTATAAAAATATATTTTAAACACAAACATTCGCTTCGCAGGACAAAATAATGCTTCTTTTTGCAAAATTTGTTCATTTCATGCAAAAACACATCGAATAAGCCCAGTTTTCGAGATTGGACATGTGAGGGAATTAAACTTATAACATTTACCACTCAGGAAAATCTCTTTAAAGGAATAAAATTTTGAGTAAGTACTATAAGAGTCACTAAATGAGTCATATAATTCCATGCTGTGATTAGTCAACTATTCCCATCTGTTCATTTTTTAAAAACATTAACAATATACTCATACGATAACAAAAAAAAACTGTTGGACTCTATTAAGTAAGAACTACGCTTACTATCTAAACAGAAATCGCATATCTCAGACAATCATATACGATTGTAAAGCAAAAACTTTAAGAATAAAAATATTTACTTAGGTGTACGATTTTTTTAAATTGTGGCATAACTTCTATCATGTGTTCGCAATAAGATGTTACAGCAGACTGAGCGGCAGTCGCTACTGCGTGCTCAGACACGTTTACACGTGTCTCGCGTGTTTTATTTTTAATGTAGCCTCAATTATTTTATTTATCCCTATAGTCAACTGATCCCGGTCTCCCCTACTTGATATCAAAATAACATATACTTGCTATTTGAGAAAATGCAAGAAAATGTTATATGATAAAAATAAAATTCTTGAAAAGATAAGAAAAGATTTGTAGAAGAAGCTAACCTGACCAGGTTGCGAATGAAAATGAGCAAATGTATATTCCCTGTTGGAGGTATGTGGTGTAACGAGAATTCTAGTGGGGCTCTTTCGTCCGACGGGTTCGACAGAATTCTGACAAGCAGAACCGACGAGTCCAACTGCCGCTGCGGTAGTCATCTGTTCCTGATTAGGTCCTAGCTCGGCTGGATCCGTAGATGACGATGTTGGTGGCGAGTTAGCAGTTGTCACTGCTAACTCACCTGTCGATCTTATTATTGCTACTGGTCTGGCCATAGGAGCAGGTGGTGGCGGCGGTAACATCGAACTTGGATAATATTGCGGAAACTTTTGTATGCTGGTGCGTGATCCAGTTAGTTGCGTCTGAAAGTAATCAATTACATATAGTATCTCATTCCTTTTAACATCACTCTTAATCAAGGTTCTTTAATAAATCGAGTTACCATAACCTTTCACGCATAACTTAATAACAAATAAGGGTCGCAGACGCTTCTTTGACTAATTGCATACAAATCTTACCGTATATTTTGCTCAAAAACGAAATTATAATACTTAAAAAAAAAATTACGATTTTAATGTCACAAAAAAGTAATAGATCCATTTTAGAAAGATATTTATGCGTATAAATTTGCATATAAATTTAATCTCGAAAAATAAACATAATCTCATCTTGTTTTTGTTCGATGAAGATGCAGCTCTTGATTTACTATGGTATGTTCCATACGATTTTATTAAGATACGTGTAGCTTTAATATTATTTTATTCAAATTATGTAGATATTTGTAATTTTGGATAGGCCTTGGTGAGACATTCAAATTTTCGGCACTCTTTACTGAAGAATCACCTTAAGTATTATTCTCTAATATCGATACATTCTTTAGATTAGAGATAATATATTTTTAACAGAGATGTCAATTGCCGATAATTTTTTAATAGGTTGGAAAAAGACCTCTTTTAATTAAGAAAAATCTCAAAAACTAAAAGTAATCTAAATATTCAATGAAGCAAGTATATATTATACAAACCTATAATTCAGCTCATTTCCGATAAGATTTACTTTAATAAATTTGAATTTAAAGTTTAAATTAGAAAAATATATGAATTAGACTGATGAAAATAACGCTCTGCGTATAATAGAAGGAATAAAGAATTAGAAATAAAGAATAAATGATTTCAACCTATCAGAAACCATATATTCAGATGTATCCGATTTCTGATAGGTTAAAATCGTTTATTCTTTATTCCTAATTCCTTATTCTTCCTATTGTGCGCAGAGCCTAAATCCAATTAAATATGAAAATTTTTATATTTATTCAAAGCAGGATGACAGTGCTTAAAGTAGTACACTCGCGACAATACTGTCCAAAAGTTTAATCTCATCGTGACGTTCGATACGACAATATAAGGATAAGCAGCGTCAGCACCTATGATCTTTTTCAGACGAGTTTTCAGGGTCCATGTCTTTGGTGACCAAATACCGTATCAATAGTATTAGGAACCACCGCCTATATTCAACAAAACAAGGGAATAAAAAATCTTAACTTTTGAGAATTTTTCACTAAATCAATGATCAATTATATACATTCACGTACCGTTATGTTGCTTCATACAATTAATTGCTGTAATCAGCTATTCAGAAAATACGGTAGTGTTTCGTCGCTAAGCAAGTACAGCATATGTCATGGCGCGATTGCAGTAACGGAGAAACTATGGGTTCTTTGTTTTGATCGGAATTGGTGCCAAAAACGTGACCACTTATAATATGCAAGCAAATATGCGCGGTTGAATGGATCTTGCCTTACTGTATATTCTTATATTGTGTGTGTAGCGATCTCATTCCCGCTAGAGAGAGAAAACTTTCGATTATGCCTGTCAATGCCTGTCCAAAACCGCACGTATGCACGGAAAAAAAATAAATAGAGATAAACGCAGACAAACGTCGGTGCTGCCAAATGCCCGCTGGCTGTCTCCCACAGACTTCTATTATAACACTAGACTGTTAACTCCCCACTTTTCCTTATCTAAAAATATTGCCTGCGCGCAGTGAATGCGCAATGTAAAATTGTCATGTATAGAAAAAAGATGCCAACAAGTCACATGACTAGCCTCTCTGTGTTAGTTCTTAAAATATACAGGGTGGCTCCAACTTATGGCCCCACCCGTCTTGAGCAAATAGAGCGGACTAAACTGAGTCGAAAAATCCTGTATCATTTTGCAATGCTCGTAAGTTAACGAGATATTAACGTTTAAAGATAGCCGAATACGCTCGTCTGCCTGACCTACTAATGCCGAAGGTAATAGCTTCATTGAATATTTAGATTACTTTAAGTTTTTTAGATTTTTTTAATTAAAAAGTCTTTTTCCAACCTATTAAAAAATTATTAGCAATTGATACCTCTATAAAAAATATATTATCTCTAACCTAAATCCGCCATCAATAGCTTGACACGCGGACTGCGAGGAGCGGGTATGGCCTAGCAGACGCGCCCCACTCTCCGCGTGCTAAGCCATTGATGGCCGATATTCGGCGGTTTAGAAATAATATCTCGATTACGAAAATGATCAAGAATTGTTAGAAAAAACTCATTTTAGTTCTGAAGCATGCACATGTACATACAGAAAAATGTTACATAAATATTACTTGTTTTAAGTAAATAATAAGAGTATTTTAAAATTATATTATCAAGAAAATATTCTTTGTAATGATATAATCGTTACTCAAAAGAAGAAAAATAAAAATTACATTCTCTCTTAGCACTAGAATGATATTTTTCTGCATTTTCTGCACTACCGCTCATGGAAGTTCGGACATCCGCATAAATTTCATCGAAATGTTTTATGTCTTAATTTTTTACACGATTATTCAATGAGATTTAGGATAACTCCGACAAATACGCCGCGCTGGGATTTACGCCGCAGAAGTCAGAAAAAATAGAAGGAGTGGGAATTTAATTTTTCCGGGTTGCGGGTAATTTTCCTGCAACTACTCTGTTATATGCCTTTATGTTATATTAATACAGTGTTAACGATTTCAGTTTCTTAGTGTTAATATTAATGAAATTATTGTGAGTTGAATCGATTTGTCACTGCGTTAAATAGCACCATCATAAATTATAATTTACATAAAATTGCTGTAGGACGTGCAAAAGACTTAGTGATTATTTCGTGATATATGAGTGTAGAGAAATAGTAAAACATGTTGTATAACAAAATACAAATATTTTGCTCTTGTATTCTTTGTTTAGTTTGTTGTCTTGTATATCCCACCTATTTGGGATATACGGCATTTTTAGCGGGCGAGATTTACGCCCAAAGCATACAAAGTGCGCAGATTGAATTCAGTGCACTAAATGTAATAAACGCATTACATGAAATATGTACGTCATGTCATAACACTTGTAATACATGTGGGAAAATTGTAATTATTGATTATTACTTCATATACATATTTATCATTCTTATTTCTTAATAAAAGATTATAAACGCATTTTATAAATTATTGTGTCATTTTATTTATATGCATTATTTGTGAATTTTTCATGAACCGTACATACCCCTCCTTCCTTCCCCCTATCAGTAGCCATATATTCCATCCCTATGAGGTATATGGCAAAAATGGAAGAGTTTACAAAAGTTCATTTTTTAATACGAAATATAAATATTCTAGATTTCTAATATTTTTTTTTCACAATAGTAGACAGTACAATGTTTTTACTGATATAGTTCGTTTACTTTAAACATAGTAAATAATACTTAAGAAATTAAGTTTTTGATAGGCATATATACCGGAGTTACCCTATGCGGATGTCCAAACTTCCATGAGTGGTAGTATAGAAAAATGCAAAAAAATATCATTCTAGTGCTAAGAGAAAACGTAATTTTTATTCTTCTTCTTTTGAGTAGTGATTATATCATTACAAAGAATATTTTCTTGATAATATAATTTTAAAATACTCTTACTATTTACTTGAAATAAGTAATATTTATGTAACATTTTTTTGTATTTATATGTGCACGCTTCAGAACGAACTAAACTGAGTTTTTTCAAAAAGTTTTTCCAATTTCCGCAATTGAGATATTATTTCTAAAGCGAATATCCGCCATCGATAGTTTGGCATGCGGGGAGTGGGTCAAGCGCCCCGCTTACCGCCGCGAGCCTCTAAGCTCGAACGGCGCGGCGCCTGCTAAGCCAAGCCTGCTCCTCACAGCCTGCGCTGTGCACTCGATGGGCCGTACCTTCGGTAATAGTACGTCGGGTAAACGCGCGTATTCAGCTATCTTTAAACATTAATATCTCGTTAACTATTGCGAGTATTGCAAAATAGTACAGAACTTTTCGACTCAGTTTAGTCCGCCCTACCTGCTCAATATAGGATGGGTCCATAATTTGGAGCCACCCTATATAAGGAGATGTCATGGCAATCTAACTTTTAATTTTCACGATCTATTATGAAACACGTGCACCACTATTTATTTCAGATTCTTTCATTTCAAAAACGTATTGAATAAGTCTAATTTCTTTCATTCTGTGTGTATATATAATCTCTTCAAGTATAGTATATGAAAGTATAGAAAGCATAGAGAACTGACTGCGCAATCCTATCTAAGTAGTAATAGTCGATAAAAATGAGAGAGAGATCGTGGAAGATGGCCAATCTTTATCTCTTTCTATTCAACGATATAACGAAAAAGAGAATGAGAGAGAGAGAGAGAGAGAGAGAGAGAGAGAGAGAGATTCCATAATCTCTCTCTCTCATTTTTGTCGACCATGCTACTAGATAGGATCGCGCAGTTCACTCTCTATGTCTTTTAAAGTATATAAGCACATGGTATTCTGCGCATGCACAATTTTACAATGCGCATGTGCCACAAGTAATGTTATACATACTATTTGACAACAGAAAAAGTAGAGAGTTAGCAGTGTTATAATAGATGTCTGTGCCGTCCCTTCTACTCCCCATCATTTCCTTCAGTCACCATCATATGTCAAAGAAAATCGAGATATTGCGTTCTTTTCGTGACTCTATTTTCCTAACTAAACCAATCAAAAATTGTAATTTTTTTTAATGATATTTCATGTTCCTTCATCGCTTGCTCATTTTTTATTAACAAATCACTGTTAGTTTAGGCCCTACAAAAATAAATATTTTCGTGAATTTTATATAGACGACAAAAGTGCAATTTTTAATTGCTTATATCTTAGTATTGAAACGGTCAATCTCATTCTAATTGCACAAGAATGTCAAATCTTCTAGTACAATATATAGTTTCAATTTCAAGAAATTCTGACTATTTTCATTCTGCGAGTACTAATTTAAATATTTCTTGTAAGAATTTATATATATATAATATATCTGATTTGC